CTCTTAGTCACTCCCTCCCAAGCCTTACCTATAAGGTTTACACAATTGAGGATATTGAAGTGATCTCTCCAAAACTCTCTTAGAGTCAAATGAGTTTCTGAGGTCACTACAAAGCACCTTTCAAACAGAGCTTTTGTGTACAGTTTTTTGAAGTTTGCAAAAACCTGCTGGTCCATGGGCTGCAGGAGAGGAGTGGTATTAGGAGGCAAAAACTTCACCTTAATGAAGCTCATGTCCCCACAAAGTCGCTCTGCCACGTCTGTAGGATGACTAGGGGCATTGTCTAACACCAGGAGGCACTTAAGGTCTAATTTCTTTTCAGTTAGGTAATTTTTCACATTGGGGGCAAATGCTTGGTGTAACCAGTCATAGAAAAGTCCCTAGTGACCCATGCCTTACTGTTTGCCCTCCACAGCACACACAAATTAGCCTTGAGGATATTCTTTTGCCTGAATGCTCTGGGAGTTTCAGAGTGATACACTAATAAAGGCTTCACTTTGCAATCACCACTAGCATTGGAACACATGAGAAGAGTAAGCCTGTCTTTCATAGGCTTATGTCCTGGGAGTGCCTTTTCCTCCTGAGTAATGTAGGTCCTGTTTGGCATTTTCTTCCAAAACAGGCCTGTTTCATCACAATTAAACACTTGTTCAGGTTTCAGTCCTTCACTGTCTATGTACTCCTTGAATTCCTGCACATATTTTTCAGCTGCTTTGTGGTCCGAACTGGCAGCCTCACCATGCCTTATCACACTATGTATGCCACTACGCTTCTTAAATCTCTCAAACCAACCTTTGCTGGCCTTAAATTCACTCACATCATCACTAGTTGCAGGCATTTTTTTAATTAAATCCTCATGCAACTTCCTATCCTTTTCACTTATGATCACTTGAGAGATGCTATCTCCCTGCTATCTGTTTTCATTTATCCACACACAATAAGAGTCTCTCAACATCTTCTATCACTTGTGATCTCTGTTTCGAAAACACAGTTGAACCTTTGGCAAGAACAGCTTCCTTGATTGCCGTTTTCTTGGACACAATAGTAGCGATGGTTGATTGGGGTTTACTATACAACCTGGCCAGCTCGGAGACACACACTCCACTTTCATACTTAGCAATGATCTCTTTCTTCATCTCTATAGCAATTCTCACCCTTATTCCTGTAGGGTTGGCACTAGAAGCTTTCTTGGGGCCCATGGTCACTTATTTTGCAGATAAAATCACCAAAAACACTGTAATAATACGAAATGTTCCGATTGTATGCTTGGGTGTTACCGCGGAGGCTGGCTGGTAAACAATGCCACCGGCGGAACATGTGAGGCTGGCTCAGGCCACACATTAGACGCGTCTCGGACGAATAGCGTTGAGCGGATTTTTTAGCGGTATGCGAGGCAAAATCTTAGCGATAAAATGTATCGGTATGCGGATTTAACGTTATGTGATGCCAACGGTATGCGGGGGTCCACTGTACAAGGATCACTCCTCCCTTTCCCCAGTCCCAGAACAGGCCTCCAATTGCTGGCCTGTTTGATCAGGTGGTTGGTGTTAGCTACAAGCAGTCCAACATACAAACCACAACCTGGTTGACCACAAATTGATTTGAACTTATCAAGTTCCCTCTTGAAAACAGCATGTTGTAGTCTCGGTCCCCGTACACTTACAGAGTTCTCCCTCAGTGCATTCATCATGCTCCTGCTTTTCAATGAAAGTATTTTGCATGCAGGACCAAGACCAATCCCTTCAAAATTTTCCAGGTGTAAATACTGATACATCTTTCTGACCTATATCTGAAGGAGTCTAGTCTCAGTTCCAGTAGTTCAGATGCTTGACTAAATTTACATGAGAAGTGAAGATTCTATACATGTCTTCCAGTTCTGTAATTTTTCCTGTCCTGAAAGGGACTATTATTATTTAGTAATATTCCATCCTAAAGAGAACAAGTGACAAGAGAATCATCTTGGACTGACATCTCTGTTTTGAATGTCTGATTATCCAGTCTACAACTTTTCATTAGGTTTAAATAACATTGCTGTTATCCTTAAATGTGAGACCTATGGCACTGTCACTATTAAGTCTCTCACAGTGAACCTCCATGAGCTTTCCACAAACTATGAAAATGTCACCTAATTCTGTAACACTCATATACTTTGTGGAATATTTATTTATTTATGACATGGTTTGCCTGTGTTATGTATCAGGTCCTTATTTTGAGTTCATTCTTTCTACATCTAAAAAACTGAAATTTGTCACCAATGAACATCATGCTATCTTTATTTGCCCACTGGAAGATCTTGATATTTGATTGTAATTCTTCTGTATCTCCTACTGAATTGACTGTCAAATTCATTTTGATATCATCCATAAAGCATATGAAGCTGTCAATAGTGTTTTTGGATCAATGGTTCAGAGAACTGACACGTTGATAAATTAGACATGTGCAACTCTTGGGTATCTTCATTGAGGAAACGTTTCGCCACACAGTGGCTTCATCAGTCCATACAAAGAAGAATCTTGAAGAACAGGAGGAGAATGAGGTAATCAGTCCCTCAGCCTTGAGTTGATGTGGTCAGTCCATCAATCTTGAATAGAATACGGCATAAGTGCGGAGAAGGAGCTTATAAAGCGTAGGCAGGAGAGGTGCAGCAGTCATAGGTGGTGTCACATTTATTCAATGTGGAAGCAGGTCGTGCCCAAGGGTTAGGCAAGCGAAGAATTCCCAAGTATTAAGATCCCAAGAAGTTGCAATGTCTGACAGGATTGTAGATCAATGGTTCAGAGAACCGGCACATTGATAAATTAGACACGTGCAACTCTTGGGTATCTTTATTGAGGAAACATTTCGCCACACTGTGGCTTCATCAGTCCATACAAAGGAGAATCTTGAAGAACAGGAGGAGAATGAGGTAATCAGTCCCTCAGCCTTGAGTTGATGTGGTCAGTCCATCAATCTTGAATAGAATACGGCATAAGTGCGGAGAAGGAGCTTACAAACCATAGGCAGGAGAGGTGCAGCAGTCATAGGTGGTGTCACATTTGTGAAACGTGTCGGTTCTCTGAACCATTGATCTACAATCCTGTCAGACACTGCAACTTCTTGGTATCTTAATACTTGGGAATTCTTTGCTTGCCTAACCCTTGGGCACGACCTACTTCCACATTGAGCAAATGTGACACCACCTACGACTGCTGCACCTTTCCTGCCTACGGTTTTTAAGCTCCTTCTCCGCACTTATGCCGTATTTTATTCAAGATTGATGGACTGACCACATCGACTCAAGGTTGAGGGACTGATTACCTCATTCTCCTCCTGTTCTTCAAGATTCTCCTTTGTATGGACTGGTGAAGCCACTGTGTGGCAAAACGTTTCCTCAATGAAGATACCCAAGAGTTGTACATGTGCCTAATTTATCAATAGTGTTTTTATCTGTCAGCTTTGAGGATGAGAAGCAGTGAAGGTACAAAGACCAAACCTTGGGGAAGTGAACTTTTTGCATTGCTGAGATTGTTTTGTTTACTGCCAGTCTATGCTCTGTTAATCAGATGCCTTAAGTCATTTTCACTTCATGGTCACACTTGTCAAATGCCTTAGCAAAATCTGTGTAAACCAACATAGATTTTCTTCCAAAGCTTATGTGATTTTGTCATAATTATCTAATAGTTGTGACAATCATGATATTCCTGTTCTAAATCTATGTTGATGTGGGTTGGGTTGGTCATGTTTTTCATAAAAACAATAATCTGGTATCATAGCACTCTTTCAGAAGTTTTTGTTAACTCATTTTTATTGGTTTAATTTTCTGCCATAGCTCTGCTGACTTCTCAGTGAAGAGGGGGTACGTGTGCATCTTTTAAGGCCTCAGAATCTAAACTTCTCTTTCTAAGAGCAATGAGTGCTCATGCTAATGGTACTGTGCATTTCTTTATAAATACAAAATTCCAGGAAACAGGCCCAGGTATTGCATATATGGACATACTGTCCTTTTTTGAAATCTAAAGAATTTGTGGTAATGTTAAATATGTATACAATTCTCACTGTGTCACTTGGACTGTGGAGCACTAATTCATACAGTTCTTTCTGGATTTTGCTTATTTCTTTGTTCAGGTATGTGTACAAGTCTCCATTACATAGAAAACCATTACTGGGAGAGGGTTTTGACTCAAATTTTGCATATATGAAAAAGTCTATGTATAGGTCTCTTCTTACTTTCCTAAATTATTCTGCATTTTTTTTCTGTCTGGTATGAGTGCTTTAGTTGAGGCTCTGTATCAGTAATTTCCCAGTGTAAGTTTTATTTTCTCTTAATATTGTACTTGCATTTCTTTGAACAGTTCAGTAACCTTTCTCCTTCTGAAAATTCTTCCATGTTATTTTATGTTTTATCTCTTCTTAAGTTTTCTTAGGTAGACATATGAAAGACTGTGTATGACACTGCATTCAGTTTTTCCATGCATTATCCTGGGTTGAGTGCTCAGAATGGTGTTCAATGGGATGTTTGTTAATTCACTGTTTATTTCATCCCAGTAATTTCTGGGATTGATGACACTGTATTTATTTAACTTCCCTTCCTTTAGGTTATTCACCCATGAATTTATGCTTGTCTACACTTACCTTTGAAGATTTTCGAGAGTTTAACTACTCTCAGAGCCCGTCAATGAAGTTCTGATCAAAGTGTATTATACTAATTTTTATGTCTGTTTGGTTCCTCATTGTTTGTAGCAATCATATAGTGTATTCTCGCTTCTGATGGTTCTGTTACCTGGTGATTCAATGCAAACGTTTTGCCAAGCCTTAAGAGTGCCCAGGAGGAGAACTTCCTGGTACATTTCCTTGTATGATTCTGTTGTCTATCATCTTCCATTTTATATTAGGGAGGTTGAAATCTTTAAGTAAAACAATATTTGGTACAGGATTCTCCAAAATTTTTAAGGAAACGTTAACATGTTTAATACAATAGAAAGTTCTTGCATCTAATCTGGAGTAAAGAACAAAAACCTCACCTTGACATTCAGACCATACACATTCAGGGAACGCATGTAGCGGTGATAACCATCAGTCTCATTGGTGGCTACTGTTATTACTACCAGATCTGAAACAAAGGTAAAGTTTAAATGAAATGCATTAGATCTTGCTCAAAGCAATATTAACCTGAGGGATAAGGACATTACTACAACACTCAAGACAATTATTTTGGGACATTTAACCTGCTGGGATTTTATTAATAAAATGCAGTGAACTGAAACAACACACACTACTGTATGAAGTGCCGAGTCACCTGTTCATGCACTGCTTTGCAGGGTAGATCAGTTTAACCCTTTCAGGGGTCCACAGGCCTTCTCAGAGACTTGTTCTCAGGGCCCCCCAAATTTAAAAAAAAAAAAATTATTTTTTCTTATGAAAAGATAGAATCTTTCCCCGATCATAATGACACCAAAAGTACGAAATTTGATGGAAAACTTACGGAATTATGCTCTTGCGAAGTTAACGGTCTCGACGATGTTTACGCATCGGCGATTTTGCCCACTTTGAGCCATATTTTCGGCCAATTCCAGTGTACTAGTCGACAAAAATCATACCTATTTAGCTAGAACAACATTTTTTCTATCGAATGAGTACAAGAAAAAACCCATTTACCGATGTCAACTATCCAATACAGTGGTCAGAATTTAGCAATTTTGCCAATTTCACACAAATTTCAAAAAATTGCCAATTTCCAAATAGGGTCAAGAATAAACAAGAAAGACATTCCTGGCACTAAAATAACATTTCCTCTGTTCATTAGTCACGTCCCCAGGCCCCTCTTACATTCTTTTGCTTTCCATTTTGAATTTTTATTCTCACAAAAAATAGAAGATTTACTGTTATGCAGACTACTGCATTAGTGTAGAAATGGCATAAATAATATTGGCACACTTGTGAAAGAATATTAGACTCACCAGTTGACGTGTATTGGACGCTTAGCATGATTTGTTTACTTTTGAACTTTGGTAAAAATCAAACATTTTGCTACTTTGAGCTCAATTTCAAGGTACTTTTCATTGTAACACCAGTCAAAATCATCTCAATTTCTGTAATATGTCTTCCATTCTATCAAATGAGACCAGGAAAACTAGAATACAACAATAAATACCATACGAAAATACAGTGCAAAGTCACCGTTTTAATCAAAAACACAGTCAAATTTTTTTTTTCTCATTACGCACTGTGTGCTGCAGGAGTATCTTTTATTCCACACACAATGACCACAGACCAATTCTTTCATATGTAGGCCTACCAGCTTTCTCTCACTATATTTGAAGGCGCTAGAATTTATGAGGACACGTCAAGGACCCTAGCACGTAAGCCGTACTAGTACGGCCGAAACCCTGAAAGAGTTAATAAGATCACATCATATGCTAAAACTTTTGAGGTTCTGGCCCACTGTGTTGGACACAGCAAGGAAGGATGAAAATCACACTCCTACAGCAGAAACAACCTTTATTAGGCATCCTTGTGAGTTGAGGTGTACCACACAAGTTTTTCCTTGACTGTTTCTGCTGCATACATAATTGTTTTCAACAATCTCTGGTCCAAGCTACTGGAGTAGCTTGGACCAGAGACTGGTCAACCACAAAGAGTGACTTACATTCCCACTCTGTTTGCTGTTACCCTGGTAAACCTCTTCCTGACTGCAGGTGGTGTACCGACTACATTATCAATACAGCCACCAGCCAGCTAGGCCATTCTGCCACCGAGCAAGGTGGCCAGTAATGGCACTAAAGATCCCACTAATCATGAACAAAACATAGCCACCAGCTCATCATCCCCCTATTAAGGACCTGTTAAAAAAAAAGAGGCCTACCACAGCAGCTGAAGCCAGCATAGGAGTGTATGCATCCTGTGTGGCATGTGCAATAAGGCTATGTGGGAAAATAACTAGAAGCTTGTACAAACAGATGTCTTCCTTGAGGGGCCAGGCCAAGGTTTGGCAGAGAGTAACTTGACATTGCCACCAGCTTTGAAATGCTGCACCCAGTTCCTCAATGAACGCTCACACACACACTAACATTCTCCACTATTTCTCTCATCTGGTGCCAAGTTTTGTGAAGCCCTATGATTTGAGCTATAGTTTCAGGTGTTAAAGATGTCCTTTTATGCATAATCAAACATGTATAGCCCCAAAACCAAAGGGAACACCAGACAAAAGATTGGGTGGATGAGAGACAACGGTGCAACACTTCCTCTCACCAAGGCAGCCACGTGAGCAATGAGAAGTCACTGTGAAGTGTGGCAGCAGGCTGTGACATCATGCTAATGGCTGCTACCCAGCAGAATGCACTTACAAAAATAAGAGCCCCCCGTATGGTAGGCCTTTGATTTTCGTCACGGCATTATGCCAGGACACTCACCCGGCATAATGCCGTGACGAGCCCTGTACACTTTACCAGGTATACTCAACAGACTTATTCCCCTATAAATTTTACACTCTCTTGTCCCCCTTTGCCTTTATTCAAAGGAACTATGCATGCGCTATGCCAATCCCTAGGTACGTTACCCTCTTCCGTACATTTATTAAATAAAAGCACTAACCACTCCAAAAGTATATACCCCACCTGCATTTAACATTTCTATCTTTATCCCATCAATCCCAGCTGCTTTACTTCCTTTCATTTTACCCACTGCCTCACACACTTCCCTGACACTCACAACTGGTTCCTCCTCACAACCACAAGATGTTATTTCTCCTTGCCTTATACATGAGCTCTGTAATAACTGAAGTATATAATAGTGTTTATATAACGAAGTGCAGGTGTGTAGTGTTGATGTGACTTTTAAATGATGATAAGCCAAAGAGGAACCAACGTCCCCTATAACTTACTTTTTTTATGATGAACAGTTAACTGAGTAAAATATAATCAGTGTAAATTAGCGGAAATTAATATTTGAATAATCACAATGTATTACACACCTGGAAGTGTTATTGAATTAACTGAATAGATGTGTACCAAATTGCTTTGGGGAGTAAGCCAGTGTAATCAGAGACGAGATAAAAGATACCAGCAATAAGAATATGAAGTTTATTTTAGCATGATACAATGTTTATACAAAGGAATATGACATTTGGGTGCACATGCCAAAAAACCCTTTATGTGCAGAGCATTTTGGGCAAACTTAAGACTAATTTAAGATTAAAATGGCCGTGGACGTGTTTCTTTCCACCTGTTGTCTATGTTCCCCATCAGTAAAATGGGTACCTGGGTGTTAGTCGACTGGTGTGGGTCGCATCCTGGGACACTGACCTAAGGAGGCCTGGTCACAGACCGGGCCGCGGGGGCATTGACCCCCGGAACTCTCTCCAGGTAAACTCCAGGTAACTTAGGCGAGTGTAATTATAAATTTAGGAGTTTACAATAAAGACAAGAAAATTTAACCCTTAAACGGTCCAAACAGATCGACGTTCAAATTCGTAGTGCTACAAAAGTAGATTACTTTTTTTTACATATTTTCAAATATAAAAAAAAAAATGTAGATAAAAGCTTTTTTTACACATTTTCACATGTAAAACAAAAAAAAAAAATCTACATTTTTTTACATACTTTCAGATGTTGAAAAAACGTATATATACGTTTGGACCATTTAAGGGTTAATATTCTATTAGTTCATAGTTTGATAGAGTAATTATAGTTTTGATTATCAAAATAAAAAACAAAAATAAAATTTTATTATTTCTTTGCATGGTTTACACATTACAAAATATTAAGTGCAAAGAAAGCCACTAGCATGCCTAGGGCATTTTGGGCAGACTAATCCTAAGTCTTGCTGACTACTCTATATTGACACAAGTTATGGAGTGGTACATTTTAATATTCATTATTTCACATTATTACAAAAGTTAAATAATCAAAAATTTTATAATTAATAAGATTTATAATAGTGAGGTAGCAAATAACAAACAGCATTACAATCAGCATAACTTAGGAATGGGAATGGTTATATCTCGGCATGCTACAATGTTTCTACAATGTTGAAAGCCCGTACACAAGCAGAGCATTTCTGGCAAACTTAGGACTAACTTAAGATTTAAAAGGCAATAACAATATTAGGAATTTTATGTTTACAGTTATTTGGGTGAATTTACAATGAACAGAAGAGAACCAAATATCTTATTAGTTTAAGATTTTATCATGTTTGGCTGAGAGGGATTACAGGTCCTAAAGCAGACACAATGGACTGATTAACATTTGAGAGGATAGCAGATATTGAGAGTAAGTATACATTGATTATAATGTATTGACTAAATCAATGTATAGTTTTTACATATTTATGATGGGCTGGGATAGGTTAGGGAGATAAGGCTTTTTTTAACAGTAGTTTCGAAAATGCTGGCTGAGTCAGTGGTTCTGGAGATTTCTGGAAGAGTTTTCTGGATTATGGGCCCTTTATATTTAGCTGGACACTGGGAATGTCAGAGATTTTTGTGCATAGTATTATGGCTATGGGTCCTATTGCAGCTGTTAAGAAAGTGCTTCAGTTCAGGATTTATACTGGAATTGAGTGTTCTGTAAATGTAGGTTGCACAGTAGTATGTGTGGATGTGTTGTATAGTGAGTAGGTTTAGGTCTTTGTAGAGTGGGGCGGAGTGTTGTTTAGCAGTGGATTGTGCGATCATTCGCACTGCAGCTTTTTGTTGGGTTATTAGTGGTTTTAAGTGATTGGCCATTGTGGAATCCCAGGCACAGACAGCATAGGTGAGGTAGGGGTAGATCAGAGATTAGTATAGTGTAAGTAATTCTGTTTGTGGTACATAACGTATTGTTGAGAGGATGCCTACTGTTTTAGATACTTTTTTTGTTATGTTTTGGATTTGGGTGTTGAATTTCAAGTTGCTGTCAAGATGCAGACCCAGAAATTTTCCCTCAATATGTTTAGCAATAAGAGTATTGTCAATCACAATGTTCAGCTGGGTATCACCTGTTCTGCTCCTAAACAAAATATAGGCTTTGTCTATATTAACCCTTTGACTGTTTCGGTCGTATATATACATCTTGCCCGCCACTGTTTTGGACGTATTTATACGCGTAAATTCTAGCGGCTTCAAATCAAGCAGGA